ATATATATATATATATATATATATATATATATATATATATTTATGACAAACATTATTATTATTTATATATTTATCTTGTGTATTAAAGGTTAAATTTAAGTATTGAAGAATTGGTTGTGACAAGAGAGTTATATTTGAATGTTGCATCTTTTTTGTATGAGAGAATGATGTTTTGTCTAGTCTCTGCCTCCTTGCTAAATATAAACCGAGGTGCATGATGCGTTAACGTTTTTACTTATAAGTTTTTGTGAAGCAGAAAAATATGTTTTTTAGCCACAAGGGCGAAACGACTCGAGCAGGTATTTCGGTATAAGAGGAGTGTAAGGTTAAGTACATGAGATAACCAAGGTCCTTCATGATAATATTGGGGATTGGTGATAATAATATGTTTGAAGACTGTTGATAAGGATGATATTGATGGTATAATCATGATATGACTAATGAGGATGTTGATGAGGAACATGGTGTAGAAATGATAATGTTAGTAAGTGTCAACACCCAATTTCGTCCGGATAAATAAATAAATAATAATGAATTTCTTTTTTTTTATCTCATTTATTTTTTTTATGTTGCTATGTTTTATGTTATTTTTATTTTTATTTTTATTTTCTTATTTTAGGTTATTTTATTATTTTGAGCCATTGTATTTTATTATATTGTATTTTATTCTATTGTGTTTTATTTTATTTATTCTTATTTTATTCTTGATTATTCTATTTAGAATTATTTTATTTTAGTCTGTTTTATTTTATTCTAGTTTTACGCTCTTTTTATTTATTCTGTCAAATGTTAAAAAAAAAAAAAAAAAGAAACAAAACAGAAATGTCAGTCTAATTTGAGCCAACTTTAGCGTTTTGGTTTTTCTGGTTCCATCACGCCATCTCCCATTCTGGTGCAAATGTTCTGCTCGCCATGCATGCTACATCTACACTGTCAGGACAGGAGGCTGTTGCAGGAAGCAAACGTTTTGACCATGTTTTTGACTTTAAGCTTCATCGGAAGCGGGAACAAGGCTAAAAGAGGGGGAACCATTTTGGGGGAATTCATCTTCTGGCTTCCACCGATCAGACACCTCAGGACCAGGGGAACCCAAAAAGGAGAAGCATCTTGAAGCTGCAAAGTTTCAACAAGATTCATCTCCCACACCTGATGACCACAGCCCAAAAAACTCGTAGACTCTTTGGATTGCCAACACCTCCACCTTCAACCATAATCTACTCTCGACTCTTCTCACCTTCAAAACCAACCACTATCTGTCCAGCTCCGTTTTCATCACGGGTAACCTAGAGAAAGCACAATGTCTGAGAGCTGAAAAAATTGGCAAGAAATTACAACCGAGGGGGAGGCGCTCAGAGTTGAACAATAGAGAAAGGAGCTCCAAGAGGTAAGCAAGTAATGTCCAATTTACAATCGCTGATAGATTAGCTTTATGCTTTGCTTGTGTGTGATTGTTACTTGAGTATTCCAAACCGTGTATGTATACATCACGGTTATCTTCTCCACTATGTTCAACACCTGAAATACAGGATAAACCATTTACTCATCTTCCGATTTCTACAATTTCTTCCATGCCCTCACACAATTCAATGCTAGATTAAGAAACAAATTTACCACTACTCTCTTCAGCCACCATTGGCAACGAAGTTCTACTCTTGTTGTAAACACCCAACCCAGCGCATAAAATCCAATTCAACAAAAATCTAACCCCAACCACCTTTGATTACAGCAATCACAAGCCAAAACAAACCAGGAATTTGAACCTCTATGCCTCAGTTTATTTCCAAATCCCCAAACATCGTCTCCATAAGCCTCAGTGGCCGTTTCGTATGATATACAAATCGGGGAACCACACTAGTGGTGGCCTCTGTGGCGGCAGTTTCCGCCTCTGTGGTGGCGGCGACTACGGTAGGAGAAGAGGGAGGAAAGAGTCACGTACGCCGGCAGCGAGTTGCGTCACTGGCGTGACCCTGGTTCGCGATTCGGAGGCGGCGACGGCCAGTTCCAATGGAGGCGATGTCCGGTGGCGACCTTGGCTGTGACGGGCGACGCCGTTGGTGTCTTGATTCGAGACGTCTGGGCTCGCTCAGGCGGTGTTCGACGGAGAAAGGGGGAAACTTCCCGCGCGCGAGGAGAAGAGGAAAGGCGAACCCAGCGCCGTGGCTGACAGTGGCTCCGGTGACGCCATGGATTGCGGCTGACGATGGTCGGTTCCGGTGGCGGCCCGTGGGCATGAGCCGGTGGACGGGACGAACTCCTCCTTGGGTTGCCGATTTCAAAGGGAGACGAAAGAGAGGGAAAGCGGTGGCGCCACGGTCGACAGTGGTTCCAGTGGCGTTTGGGGTCATCGCCGACGGCGAGGCTGATAGAGGCTGGTGGCGCGGTGGCCGTTTGGGCGGAGGTGGGCGCCTCTGGTTTCTTGCTCAGAGAAGAGACCTTGGGTCTCATGTGCTTCAGAGTTGAATATGAAAATGGGGAGGAAGAAAGGAAACCCCTAGGAAATTCTAGGTTAGGGATCAGAAGAAAGCCCCCGGCCAGCACTGGGCCAAGCAAAAATAAAAGAAAGATTTGTTGTTCTGCACCCCCTTTATTCATATTTCGCACCCCGATACCACCCCGGGCCAGTGCTGGGTCAAGCCCAAGAAGAAAAAAACTTCTTTCTCCCGCAGCCCCTGTTTCTCACTTCCACACCCCTTTCAGCTTGGGTTTTGGCCCAATTCATTTCCAAAAGAAAAAAAAATAGTTTAGACACCCCAGTTTCTTATTTAGGCACCCTTACTATTTGTTTTATTATTTATTTATTTATTTGCTTTTCTTTATTTATTTTATTTTGTTTCCTTATTTATCTTATTCTATTTGTTTTTTTTATTTTATTTTATTTTATTATTTTTTATTGTTGTAATTATTTGTATTGTTTTTATTTTATTTTATTTATTTATTCTAAATATCTATTTATTTTAAAATGCATATTTAATAATGCATAAAAAATAAAATATTTATATATATATTTATATACAAAATTTACAAAAGTATTTTAAGGGTTGAGCACATGTGTGATGGCACGCATGGTCCTTGTGCTAAAACCTCTTCTCCTTCTCTTCTAAAAAATACAAAATTTACAAAAATATTTTAAAGGTTTAGGCACATGTGTGATCGCACGCATCGTCCTTGTGTTAAAACCTTTTCTTCTTCTCTTCTAAAAAAAAATACAAATACAAAAATATTTTAAAAGGTTTAGGCACATGTGTGATCGCACGCATCGTCCTTGTGCTAAAACCTTTTCTTCTCCTTTTCTCAAATAAAATTATAAAAATATGTTTTAAAGGTTAAACGCATGTGTGATCGCTCGCATCGTCCTTGTGCTAAAAAAACCTTTTCTTCTTTCTTAAATAAAATTACAAAAATATTTTAAAGGTTGAGCACACGTGTGACCGCTCGCGTCGTCCTTGTGCTAAAAACCTTTTCTTCTTTCTTAAGTAAAGTATAAAAAAAATACGTTTTGAAGGTTAAGCACACGTGTGACCGCTCGCGTCGTCCTTGTGCTAAAAAACCTTTTCTTTTTTTCTTAAATAAAATTACAAAAGTATTTTAAGGGTTGAGCACACGTGTGATCGCACGCATCTACCCAGAACTACGTGATCCTTGATTCTCCATTAAGAGTGGAGATACGTAGGAGCAAGGTTCGTCCTTGTCAGGTTCACTTCCCAAAAATCCAAAATCATTTTCAAAACAAATTTTCAAACAATTTCCAAAAAATTTCTCAAACAGATTCAAAAGAACTACGTAACCCTGATTTCTCATTCTGAATGAGAATACGTAGGAGCAAGGTCAATCCTTGTCGGGCCCAAAAAACTAAAAAATATATTTTGTTTATTTAGAATTTTATTTTAGGGGATAATTAAACACTTTGAAAAACCACATCATATTCGTGCATTTAGTTAAAGGTACTGTCTTAGGGCAGGCGTTGTAGGGTGCTAATACCTTCCCTACACGTAACCGACTCCCGAGCCTAGAATCTGGTTCTTGTAGACCATGTCTTATCTTTTTTATGGTTTTTCCGTAGTTTTCCAGAATAAACTATGGTGGCGACTCCAAAATCTTTTTTCAAAACCCGTTTCTTTTTTGGATCGTTGTCCCGTCGCGATTCCGGTTGCGACAGTAAGGATAGTGTTGTAAGTGAATATTTGTTATTAAGTTGTACTTATTTGTTATGTATATATTATATTGTTAATGATTATGTTAATTTATTTTATTAATTTTGAAATTATGTAATTAGATAATATTTTCAATAAAGTTGATACTTTATTTTAATTTCCCAAGTTTTAAATGTCAAAGTTTTTAATTAATATTATTTTTCACACTAAGAATTTTGAAATTTGAAACATTAATTTTAAATACTATTCGTGGATGTTACATAAAAAATGACACTAAATGTTCCCTGAGATCATCAAAACCAACCGTCCGAAAACATGGTGACCGACTTCTCAATATTTTTGTTTTCTTCTTTTCCATATATCTTCTTATATCGACATTGAAATGTAGAGCAAGAAACTAAATCTATAAAGGTAAAACTATAAATTGTGTACAAATGCAAATGATGAAAAAAATTATTATTTGAGGTAGGTGTTAATAAAATATAAAATAGAGTGGATATTTTTGGTAATTCCATAAAGTATTGTTTTATTAGATAGATAGTTGACTATTTAATGAAAAATATTATGAATTAAACTATATAAAAAATTGCCAGTAAACGATAACTGAGTAATTTTCGGCCAGTCTTAGCTTCACATACTGATTGTAAATTTTGAAACCTATGGTTGCCACATCATAGTTGTTTCATAAGAACCTAAGCTCATTTACTTCACAAGATAATGAGACTCCAAACTTATACCACTACACATAACAAAAGGCCTCATTTTGAAACTATGTATATTCTCAGAGCTCATACGCTGGAAATTTAGACTGGGAAGGATCGATCATATCCAAGAAAAGATAAGCCATGCCTCCTTTCCCTTCAAACAATGAATATGGTCTATCACCTCCATGCATTTCACCTTCAGATATCAGCTTATGAGCACTGTCAAGCAAAAAGCAAGCAAAAGCCTTGGCTCTGTATAGATGCTTCACATCCCTTGTAAGTTGGTACAGTGACAGAAACACATATGCATTCCCACTTATGCCATGGCATATCCCAACTTTCTTCAGCAGACCACGATTCCAAACCACCTCTCCTGCTTCCATAGCTGCATCCAAGAATTCTTTATCTCCAAAAACCTGTGGATTCGACAAAACATACAACTATTGCAACTCCCCAAACCATTATAAAGTTCTCATTGGAGAAAACATATGTTAACAAGTGAATTAAAGTTATCTATGTATAATAACCTTAGCTGCTTTGACAAGTGTAAGGGCTATCCCTGGAGCTCCATGACACCAATGCACAAGAACATCGCTCTTCCTATCATCTTCACTAGCGGGATAGTTTCCACTGGAAAATTTATTGCTTATCATGTATTTCAGAGTTCCCTTAACGTCCTCAACTTCATCTGGCTTCAACTCCATATCCATCAGCACATGCATAATCCCAGCCAATCCATGCGCAGCACCCCAATACTTCTCCCCATACCATTCATACATCAATGGGCACCTTCCCTTTCTACCCATCCTCCTTCCACTTTTAATGACTTCATCAACAACCATAGCCTGAAAATTTTTCAAAAACATAACAACCCCATTGTACTTATTCAGTCTTCTCCCCAATTCACCACACAAAAAGAGTAAAAAATGACGGCAGTAGTTGAGACCAAACCCACTGTATAGCTGGAAGGAACTGTCCCCTGACCAAGGTGCTTGTTTAGGAACAAACAGGCCCACAGAAAACCAACTCTCCCATATAACAACTCGTCAGGAAGATCTTTTGGTAGCTTAATCTGCACCCCAAAAGGTTGTTAATTCTTATTACTACATTCATCACATATATTTTGATCTCAAACAGTTAATATATCACCACTACAGCAATAACTTCAAAACAACTAGATTAAATAAGAGTGACAGAACCATTTCCGATGGCAGAGTTCTAGCCTCAAGCCAAACATTATGGACGGTAATTCTGCTGAAGCCTGACAGAACCATTATGGACGGCCGACAAATTTTAAATTCCAAAAGATGTAGAACTGATTTTGAGTTGAAACAATTGTTAACCACTTTCAGATTCATTTCATTCAAAACTAGTTGAAAAAATTATGGATATTTGAACATTGGATAAAAATATTTACACCAAATCTTAAGTTGCTTTTAGAAGAAAAAACAAAACAAAATCCTAACGTAAACTACTTCCCTTCAAAATCAATTTCATTCGTAATCAAATTTTTCAAATGCTAATTCAAAAACATACTTAAAAATTTGATGAAAAATCACCTTTTCGAACTGAGCCAAGTAGTACCTCAAGGACTCATCATCGCCGGCGTGTTTTGCAACAACGGCACCGAGAGAGCACACGCCGGCACGCCCACAAATAAAGGTCACATCCCTGCACCCATTCATTCAAAGCGCGAACCATTATACTTAAACGTGAAAGTAAAATTAAAATTGAAACAGAGAGAACCTGGAACCAAGGGAAGCGGCATCGCAAGCCTTCACAATCTGAGAGCAAAGAGAAAGATCGTTCCCGTTGCGTGTCACTTCGTAAGACTTCAAGAGCAGAAAAGCCGTGCCCAGAACGCCGCAGTAGAGAGTAAAGTCTCCATCTTTTTGCCCAGATACTCCCCACGTTTCTATCACTATCTGACACCAAACCACACACGCTTTAGAGCAGAGAAGCGTGGTCAAAAACAAGAAAGAGAAGGAATTGAGGGTAGGATTCGTTTGGTACCGTTTCTTTGAGGTCTAGAGCAGCGCGCTTGAGACGCTCCGAGAGTGGCGCGTAGGGCATGGCCAGGAGCTTCGTGAGTGAGTCCCCTACTGTGAGCGCTTCTTCTTGCTCCTGCGGAGTAGACGGCGTCGCTTCGGGTACGAATTCGGGCATCGGGTTCTGGAAGAACCGAACCCCCATGGTTTCAGGTCTGAAGAGAAGATTCTAGAAATCCAAATAGAAGAATGAACAGAAGCAAGTGAAGAGAAGAACGGTGCTGATGCTTATTTTTAGAAAGCGTCACTGTTTCGTTGTTCGTGTATTCTGATGTCGAGCTATTACGCTGACACCTCGTATCTACCTATCTCTACGTGGCATCTAATGAATGTTTATTGGATAAAAGATAAATTAAAATCATTCCTTTCTTGTAACGAAGATCTTTTTATTCCTAAGATTGTTTTGTCAAAGATTTGGAGCATTCAGATGCAATATTTCTTCCCATAATCTTGTTTTGATATTTGGAAAATTCCATGAATTAGTAGTTGAAACTGCTGGAGTTTCTTTCTTGTACTGAGAGCAGTGACTTCAAATCAAAATCAAAATTTTTCTATGAACACGAGGATTTGGTTCTTTGAATAAAAGAAAGGCTCAAGCTACTAAAATAAATAACAAGATGGGAAAGAAAATGAGTTCTTCATTTGAATAGTGCACATGACATCACTTTCTAATTACATGCTTGTTCCCTCAATTACTGAACTTTTGATCAACGGAATCTTTAGGAAAGGGATTATAGGTTACCCTTTGCGCAATTTTTTTCCTTTTCATCATTTTCACCACAGGGATGAAAGAGTGTTTGATCATGAATCATGAGCAAACATATATATACAATTAAGCTTGTGCTCTTTGACAGGTGATTTCACTAATCATAGTTTACAATTACAGGTTCTTATAATGCTAAAATTTCAAGTCTCCCAAAACCTATCCTATCTAGACTTTTGAATCTACTCATTCTGAAACTGTTTTCCTTCAAATGTCTGTCCGAACATCCACTTTGCAGGTGCTACATTGTAAGATGTGAGTGTTTTTCCACTGCTGATTGTTACCTCAAAGGACAGAGGCTGGTTTTGAAAGTTGACATTGCAATGCCAGTTCTGTCCCCAGTTCCTAGCCATTGGTATCCACCCTGTTCTAGACCCCTTCACTTTCACAGCAATCACTTCACCATCCACACCAACATTGGAAATCAGCACCTGATAGAAGTGAGAACCCCCACTCATTGTGAATCTCATGCCACCACTTCTTTCACACTTTACTCTGCAACAAACTTAAATATTAACATAAGATCAAATGTGTTTTAAGTTCTCTTTACTTTGAACCAAATATTTTGGTTTTATATGTTACATACTTGGTTATGGTGAGGGGTGAAATTCTAAAAACATCAAAAATACAAAAAGGAAAAACATGTTCTGTAAGGTAAAGATCAATTTTAACTGAAAATAGAGATCCTTAAACAGAATGTAATCGATCTTTATCATTGAAACTTTTTATTTTGGTTACCTTCTATACTGAACTGGCACTATATCAGCTTTGTTCTTGGCAATTTCAGCAAATGCTGTCTTTGACATCTCAAAATGTTCCCTCGGAAAATTGCACCAGCCACCATAATCAACTGAAAGGCCGTAATTTGGAGCACAGAAATCTGTTACAGTAACAACTACAGAAGGGCTTCCCATCACACACCACAAGATGTGGTCAACACATCTGATTTCATAGCAGGCCCCACATATGCTCCCTCTGTTGAACAACATGGTGCTTAAGCCAGCACTGTGTTTTCCATAACTTGCCTTGTGGAGATCTCCATAACCACAAGCTCCTTCTGCAACACATAGTACAGCCACATTGTCAAAAACATGATGCTGCTTTCATCCTGAGACTATGTAAGAAGAACCAAGGAGAGAGAGAAGTATAGTACCGGTGACAAGAGACCCCTCTGAGTCTTTGGCAAAAGTGGCAGTGGCTTTCTTCCATTGTTGGTCCTTGTAAGCAAAAATCTTGCATGAGTGTAGTAAAATCAAGTAGAGAAGTGTAGACTGAAGAGCACCCATCTCAGAAAATTCAGCTTAGAAACTGATTAAAACTTTAAATTGAAATTCTTTTATGTGTATTAAGCTTTTGTCGTATGTGGGGCTAAGAAAGGGCTAAACAAATAGTAAAAGGAGGTTTCTTTTCTAATGCAAATGATGATGATCTGATCTCCTTGCTAAAAGATGGAGATATAGCTCCGGTAAAAGTTCAAAATGGTTTTTCCAAAAAATTAAAATGCCCACTTAAATTTCAAATTAAGAAATCAAAGGTAACGAATTTAATATTTTTGAAATAATAATAGTTTTTAACCCTTCTAATATAATAATGTGAAAATGAGTCGGGTCAATTATGCTTATTAAAGATTTGAAATTTAGTTAAAAAAATTAATTTCTTTTTAAATATAGATTTAAATGAATTTAACTCATTTAACTCGTAAGTTAAATGGATTTGATTCAAGCTGAAAGTGAGAACTTGTAACACACTAACAACTATTCTTTTATTAATTTTTTTATCATATTTTCATAGGTTCTTTTATCATAATTATTTATTATTTCTGAATATATAAGTTTATAATACAACTTTTTTAAATACTAATATATTATTTAATAATGTTTAAATAATTTAAATATTTAATTTATTAATTTGTTAAACACTTTAACTTTTTATTACTATATTTATAATAATATTTAATAAAATATGAAATAGGTAAACAATTGAATTATAATGCTATAAGAAATCATATCAATCTACTTTTATAAATGTATAAAAAACAATTAAAAAAATAGAACACCTTTAAGTGAATAAATGCACTTATCTGAATTGAGTTAAATGAATTCACAAAATTTCTACCTCAAAATAAAGTAAAACACCTTCATACATTTTTGTTTACATCTTTAACTCTTGTTTAAGGTTTTTTCACACGTGATATATGTTAGAATTTATAATCTGTGAAACATAGTTTGAATAAATTTGACAGTTGAACCCAACGGAAAGCAATTAAAAACTTGAAACTTTCCAACCGAAAATCAAACATAGAGCTAAGCATTGACAAATTTGAGCAAAGATTATTAATTTCCAAATGATGGGGACATGAAAGAAGCCGAGAAATATGGTAATTTGTTGCTCATTCCGAGGAGCTTTTTTTCTTTTGTTTACTTTTGATGCTTTTTCTCTTGTCTATTCTTTTTAGGCAGGAAATGCAGTGGAGAGTCCAAAAGGGTAGTTTGGAGCCTGCAACATGGATGTGGTTCATTCATACAGAAGAGTTTTAGGGTTTGTGTTCGGTGGCAGACACACAAAAAAACACAAAAGTTCTTCTACTACTCTTCATCACTGCTAAGGGTGCTTTATTAATCATTTTGTTTCTGAGACATGCAGTGTTTTAAGGATTTGGTTAGTTCATTCATTCTTTATTCTCTTTTTGTTTGTAACATCTTTTCATGATATGAAAGTATGTAATATAATGATGGATTGATAGCATAATTGTTGACTAATTATGAGAAGATAAATTTGTATAAAACTTAAATCTCATTAACTTTTTTACTTCTGGAAAAGAAATAAGATATTTGAGTAAATTATTCTTACACTTTCTGAGTTTTTTTACTTTTATAGATTATACACAATTTTTGTAGCATTCATTTTGATATATTTTACAGAATAAGACCCTCTAACTAGGATAACGATAAAAGATGGAGCAGGTATCAAAAGAAAATTGATTAAACTTTAAAAGAAATTGATATGATTTACTATTAAATATTTGGGTTAAATATGTTTTTAGTCCCTGAACTATCAGACGATTTTGTTTTTAGTCCCTGCTCAGAACTTTGATGGTTTTTAGTCCTTATCAGTTTTGAAACCTCTGAGTATTTAGTCCTTAAAAAATGGCTGCGTTAAGCTTTTGCAGCGATGTGGCAACGGCGATGCCACGTGATCA